TTTTGATTCTCTTCTCGTTTTTTTTTCTTCATCTTTTTAGAATATTTCGCGAATACTATGAAAAACAGAAGCATGTAAAATAAATAAACATAAATCGGCAAGATCCTTAGAATTTCAATTTCCCAATAATCCCATTAATCAACATATTACTGTATTTATCTAATTTAATATCAGATCCTAATATCGGACAAACTATAAACGTGGACAAACGTCCTGGCGAATGTTTCCCTCTCCTTCTCCTCTCCCCCAAGGCGTCTGAAACGTTTACGAGCGAAGACGAGTCCGCGAGTTCCGGCGTGTCCTCAGGAGGATCGGTGCTTGTTCCTCGTGCCACCAGACGATTTCGACTTCGCTAGCATCTGTCACATAAACTTAGCTAGTTTACTACGACCGGAATAAAATAAGTTGGAGTCAGGGGTGCGCCTCACTTACGGCCTCGCGATGACGGCCACGAAGAAGTGGAAGCACGGGGTGGCGAGATGTCCGTACGACCCGGTGAAAGACGAGCAAAAGAAAGCGAGTGCAGCTGAACGAGAAAGGGAAAGGGGGAGGAAAAAAATACCACGAGCTGTAAAGCGAACCACGTTTACGAGTGTCGTTAAGCCCGCTCTAGGAGACCTGTCTGATTACATTGATGCTGCTCGCTGAAGAAGACAAAAGTAACCCCTTTGCTCCGTGCAGTTTGTCGCTATAACCCATTCCACTCTCGAGTATTTATATCAGAAGCTGTTTTATGGTTTTTAACTAAATGAAACATACTCAGAGTAATATAATGTAATTTGGAAATAAAGATATTAAAAGAACAATGAATGAAAAATTGAAAATTTGTTTTCTTATTTCTTATCTTAATTTAGTAAAAAATAACTAAATAGGGAACTCCACCCTTCCGGGGTTAAAAAAAAAAAATTAAATTTATATTGAATACTGGTATATTCTTGAAGATTGCTATTCTCTTCGCGATACGCATTTCGTTTTCCCGTTATTTTCCTCGTGAAAGAAAAATGCCAGCACTGCAACATCCTTTACGAGCGGAGATTTATTGACTCTTTTTCCTCTTTAAACAAAGCATCAACGTCTCCTATAAACGAGATGAGATTGACCTATCGTATCTCCGGATGGAATCCTTCGGAAAAGTAGCACTGTTAGAACTTGAAACTTGGCCACCATCCAACGATATAGTCTGCTCCGACAGACACGGTTCACTGTTTCTATGGAGGATACGACGTGGACGTGATCTCTCACGCGTTTATGTATCGCGATTTCTTGACGACTTCACGATGCAATAACATACCAAGACTACAGTCTGTCTATGGTTAAATCGTTTCACTTGATCATGGCATACCAAGTGTTGTCTGTTTCAATTTCTACTTGAATCTCGACTTGATTAACACTTAACCCCTTGGTCTTATAATATCTAGTTGCATTCGTGATGCAATTACAGTTCAAACGTGATAAATTGAAATTTAATTAGAATTATTAGGGGTAAAAATTAATTTAGTATCTGTAAATATACGATTTTATCAAAAAAGAGAAAGAAAATTTTGTTCATTTAAAAAAAAGAACTTATCACGTAAAATTATATTCTGGATGAAATTAAAATTCAATCTTAATCAGAAGGTACAAATATTTAATTTATAGACCCTAAATGAATCAATTAAAGGACCATGTATAACTTTGAAATGGATATTGTTAACAATATATTTAGTAGAATTTAATTGTTATTCTGATGCGTGAGACAGGCAAAGTGAAACTGAAATGTTACGTATGGAGTAAAAGGAAAGCTTTGTAATAGCTGCGTGAAATATGCGTGAAATGCGTGTATTCACAGTACGACTATTTTCCTTCGTGGAATCCGGTAATAAGCTGCTACATCGAGAAGTGTCACTGACTTATAACTGGCAAAACATAGTAAGCCCCCTAATTAATTATCCTATTATTAAGTTCTTACATCATTCAACGTGTTTTTTTTTTCTCAATCAAAACAGTAAAATTAATTTCTTATACCAAGTTCAAATTACATATTCAATTTAACCCTTGAACAGCCTTGATCCGAGGGTACTCGCCATGGTCCGCCATCCAAGGGTTAAACACACATATAATATTAAAGAACTTTTTTTCTACGCGTTCATGGGTCGAGTAAAATGATGTTTTCACTGTGATCCGCCTTGTGTCATTATATTTGCGTTATTCTGCCACAAAAGCGTTTAAGCTGCGTGTATGTTTTCAAAGGGGAACCATGCGAGGCGATACAACTGTAAATCAAATCTGGCTAGCACACGTCGACGGAAATAATTTCGAGCGAAAATACTTAACGCGTGTTCACCTCCTACGTCTTCACCGCGAATTCCCGCGTACTCTCTCAAATAGAAAGCGTCACGTAAGCGAATCAGACCTGGTTAGCATCAGGCTGGTTAGCATAGGACGTAATCAACTAGTGCTAGTGTAATATCCACCCGGTAATTGACTTTTACCTGCTGCCCTCCTATAAATGATTCTACTAATAATTACAAAATATACCTTCCAGTACTGCAGCATAGCAGTAAAAACCAATGTATTAGTGGCTATTAAAGTGTTATGATATAACACTAGTATTTGCTGACTTAAGAATTTAAATTTAATTTTCAATTAATTTCCATTCATATTTTCTAATTTTATATTGTTTTTTCAAATATTATGTTTCTGAGGGTTTAGTATGGAAAATATTGAATGTCTAATTTTTGGGAATACGAAGGGTTAACTTTAAGAAAACGAGAGGGAGGAGTTCGTGGAACCAAGAAAAAAAAAATAATAATTAAATAATTCTAATAATATTTCTAGTAAAATTATTTAGAATATTATTATGACCTATCCCGGGAGAAATATAACAAAGCATAAAGTAAGCTGATAAAATTAGCAAGCGCATAGTATTACTATATTTTCCAAGGGAACGATTCATCTGAGACGATTTAGGGACAAAGTAATCGTCGAAGAAGCCCGGGCGCAACTAGGATAAAGGATGGCCACGTCTCGTAAATTCGATTCTTTATGACGTTGTCATCGTTAAAGCCAAAACCGTACCCTTAAACTGGTGCATGCAGCGATTTCAACGCGAGAGAACCGCTTTGATGAAGTTCGTCGCAAAAATGTTTGCGGTTCGAAATACCATGCTACAAACAGGCACATCAACGGACATGACCGCAGCTGTTCTCTTTTATTTGCTGGTCGAACTTCTCTAATAGCCTGAATCGCGACAAAATATATTCCGATAAATTTATCCACCTGCCAGACTGTGTCTCGTTCAATTTTAACGTAAACATGTTCGATTCAAAACCGCCTATGTTTCAACATTTACACATGATTTTCTCTTGTATAAGATTTGTAACATTCAATCCCGATGAAAGACAAAAAGACGTTGACAAACTAATTTGTTATTCTATGTAACGAGAACAAATGATTTATAAAAAGATTTTGTGAACTTTTTTGAAAATTTTAATATACCTAGAACCATTAAATTTCAAATAATTTTGTCCGAGACATTGCAATCTCTAAGGATAGCTCTGCTAATGAATATTTAATTATTCTGTATTCTATTGTATCTTTGTCACCCAGTTTTCTTATTGAAAAACATACCAGAAGATATTTAATTCAAAATGAATTAATATATTGATAAAGAGTAAAAGGTATATGTAAAAGACATCAACAATCAGAAAAATCGTAAAAGCAAGTAAAAGAAAAAAGGGAAGGAAACCGTTTGCTGGGCCAAGTGATGCGACTTGCCTGGTTCTTGAAAGGAAGAGCATTTTATAGGTTGGAATCTGTTTTATGTCTGCCGGATTTGCTATTACGACTGCAGTTTCAAATGTCCCAGACAAAAGGAGTGTCACGGAAAAGGGATAGAAAAGGTTTTACGTCCTAAAGTTAATCCCTTTTCAGCCTTCCGTATGGAACTCCTATTCTTCTCGTTCCCTAAACACTGTATTCGACTGATTAATCTTAAGATGATACTATCTTAGATTATAGACAGCAATTTGTCAAATGAATTCATCTTTTACAATCTATGAAATGATTTATTCTCTTGCAATTTAAATTCACAAGCTTCGTGGAAAATAAGTTCGACGAATACCAAAGTAAATTTATTTAAATTGAATAATTCGCATGATAACATTAGCTGATTTTAATGAAATCTAACGTGGGAATTATCTTGTGTATATTATCCGTGTTCCCTATTCATATTCATACGGTTTCTAAGAATTATCTTCTTGTAAACTAACGAGCAAGGACGTAGCAGGTTCCCACATCAAATTCTCAACAGTTAATACATAAGCAAATGTCAGTAACTAATCAACGATGCAACCATAAATATGTTAAAACCATTAAATAACGTAAAGTTGTTTTAACTCATCTGTAAACTGTGCAGCTTCTGTGTCTCTCAGTTAATAATTATTTTAAAATGAAACGAGCAAAGAGAATATATCAACATTTCAAAGAACATGTACGTAAAACGTTTCAAGCGGTAAATTATCATCGAACGGTTATCCATTAAGAACTTTTCCATGCAAACAAACGTGGCTTTTATACAAATTAAATCGCTAATAATTACTGTTCGTATGTAACTGGTGTAACGTCCTATTTATTCCTATTAACACTAGCCTGCATACCTGTTTTTAAATTGAAAATTAAATTCTTTACCTATATTAAAGTAAATTTACCTTTCAACGAAATTATATTAATAAATTCTGTAATTGATTATTCTGGGATTAATTTTTATTCCAAATCTGATCATCTGAATTTTGAAATTTAAATTAATATCTAAAAATTAATAAAGTTGACATTTCAATTCCCACGAGATATGAAATTTATAAAATGACAATAAAGACAAATTTCAAATTAAATTGAATCCTAAATCATAAATTGGGCTATTAAATATTCGGCTCCACGTGTAGACTAATGAAAATGAAGTAGCCAAGGGGTGATACAATAACATCTTAGATAACTGAGAAGATAAATTTAACAAAACTCACCATGGCTACGTAGTAGAATGTTCTGGAGGACTGTCAGGGCTGGGCGGTACTCTGCTGACCGACATGTGAGCATTCAAAGGATGCAGAATTGGCCTGAGGTGGACACCATTCGGGGGTGGTGGAACTCCTATGTAGGGTACCTGCCCCTCGTAAGTAGGTGCACCCGTAGGTGCAGTGTATCCGGTGCAGCAATACGTTGACCGGCCTGATTGGACCATTCTTACTGCTTTCCAGAAGTGCATTGCCCGAATCTCGTTGGTACCTGTGAACAGAAAAAAGGACACTGTAATTATGTTCAATTTTGCATGAATTTTAACACATTTGATTACAACGGAGTTCATCGATGGTATGCTACTTCTTCTCGACTGCAGTATAGAATTCTTTCGACTACTAATAAGGGTAAATATAGAGGGACTGAGAAAATGAATTCACCTAATTAGATTAAAATTGGGACTCTCCCCGTGGTCCGCTATTCGAGGGTTACCAACCAATACGCGATTTGAAAATTTATAAATGTTTTGATCTTTCGCGTCTGTTTTTACAATAGAGTTTCTCACTGAAACCACAAGTATCCAGTCAAGCAAAACACTCGAAAACACCCGGAAATACATTTTCGCGAACGTTCGGTTATTCCGGCCGGTCACGGTTAACACCAGCCCCGACATGATGGCCAAATCGGTGGCAAAAAATTACTGTCGAACGAAGGAAAGGATCTTCGTCATCGTCGAGCTATCTTGTAGCTGACTAAAGACCACAAGCTGTTTCTTCACCTAATCGGAAATTCGATTGCTAAATCGAGCACCATCCCGATGGTGATTCTGAGAACGAAACACCCTGAAATTCAGGCGGTTCATAGCCAATAGGAATTCACCCATTGATGCATCAAAATGGCCGACCCTTCGAGGCGTGGTTTTCACAACAGCATGTATACTGCATGCATATACGGCCACTGGAGAATCCATCAGCCTGCCAAAAAACGAAGACTACGAGGATACCAGTTACACGGTTTCCTGCTGCCACCACTTAATTGACGCCACGGTGGCCCCCATTTACAGCAAACGATCGACTGGATCGATTAATTCATTCAAAAGTAAAGTGGTTCCATTGAAGAAAAAAGTTTAATTAACTTTTATGTCTTTTCTAAACGTGTAAACGCTAAGAGCTACTGACAGCAGACTCTGCTCCTGTTCTACTCCATTTCCACTCAATTTAAATCGAACAATCGGGACGATTAAGTACAAATTAGTCTTGAAGATATTAATGTGCTTCAATTTTAAATGACATATTGTACATTCGATTAAAAATTAATTTTTAAAACATTGACATGGATAAATGCTTTTGGAAGCACGATAATATCTTCTAATTATTTATTTTCTCTAATTTGATGATACGAACAGATTAATTACGCCACTAATTACTGAAATACGATCATAATAAAGACGACTTATTGTCGTAGTGTGGATAAAAACTATTCAGCGTGATGCGGTTGGTCCAAAGTCGAAGGGCTAATTTTTGGTTCTTCGGGGTTTGCGGTTAGCGGTGCAACTCGGTGAAACCCACTTCCTGTCTGATTTCAATACTGATCGCAGTAGTTCAGACAAATCGATCAAGTCATTTTCTGTTGACTCCAAGATTCCTGTGCTTGATTTTAGAATTTTTTTAAATGCAACATTTTCACAGTAGGTTTACTGGGGTAATTTATACCTGAAATTTTGGAACACTACGTACTCCTGAGGAAGGAAAATATTGTACGGTTAATGTTACTTAACACTGGTATTGTGTTAAACAGGATTTACCTGTCAAATATGTCAATCGACGAACCTGTTATCTGCGAATTGCAATTGGTAGCAATCTGTAATTATTGCCGTACGAAGGGGTGTAGCTCGAATGAATTAACACCAAGTAAAGTGTCTCCGCGGGCATGGTATTACAATAAATGTAAACGTAATTAAGGGTTAGGTTGGATTTATCGCTGGAAGCGTCCTCCATTAATACCTAAATATACCTTCTTAATATAAGTTAAGCATATACGTAGCACTACAAAATAAAATGAAGAGTTAAATTTAAAAATATAACTATGAGAGATAATTGTTCATAAATTACCTGCTTCTTCTTGAAGAGATTGGCAATAAAAATAGATGATTTTAAAAATGGATGAAAAGTTTTTAGTATTTCACCATGAAAATAATAATTTACCACTGAAAGGATTATTATGACATAGCAATAATGTTTCTTAGGTTGATGTGTCCTCTATTTTATTTTTTAAACATTATTATTTTAACAAAATACTAAATTAGAAGGTTGCAGAAATTGATGATATATTTGGAAATTTTGAAATATCTCATAAATTGGTAAATTTTTTGCACTGCATCCTAATACTTTTTTATACAAAACAATGTTGCAAAATAACAACAACTATGCATTTGAAACAGAGAAACATAGATTTTACTGTGCGTAACGACGTGTTCAAAATGAGAGAACAGTCGAAATAAAAGTTTCTGTTCTCGCTTAAAACGCGAAGATCGGCATTTCGTTTATATCTTTCGGTTCTTCGGCGATACCGAATGATTTGCTCGAGGATCGAGCCGAGCAGATGAGTCCGGTACGTTCGAAAGCCGAACGTAAAAACGTTGGCCGACTCGTAAATTATATTTAATAGCGAGGGTTTCGCATGCACGACTGTCGGTTGATTCTGGTTTCGTGAGGGCTCCCGATTGCCGCTGAAGTATCGTGCTTATCGTTTGTAACTCGATTCGAAACGTTCCACGATAATTTATAATTTTAGATCATGTTGAAAAATTATCCTGTCCGTCTACCGGGGTTCATGGTTGGTTATCACTAGTTAGTATTGTAATTCCAGCGCATGTACTCCGATAACGTAGCCATGTACTCCGAACTGATGCAAAACATTGTTAAGATATTAACAGCCCAGCGTTGGATCAGAGGGGTATAAGGGGGGCTGGGGCCCAGGGTCCCAAAAATCTTAATTCGTTCCTGCGGCAGCCATAAATGCATGGAAATGCTTTATTTTGTAAAAAGCCACAAATTTAACCCTTGGATCGCCAATCTCAGAGAAAATTTGATTTTATAAAAATTTAAACTACCCTTAAGAAGCTGTTTTTCAAAAAGATCAATGGTTGAAATAGCACCTGTCGTGGGACACCCTATATAATTTTCAGAAAACTGGTATTACATCAATTCTATTACAGAGCACTTTTTTTTAACCTGTCCATCAATCAAAGCTATTAGTCTGCCAGTTCGATCGCCATTGATTTACACCCTTCCTATTTCATCCTAGTGTATAGCTTTCTGAAATAGACTTCTAGCTATGAATTATAAAAGCTATACTGCACGATCAATAATCATGCAATTATGCGGAATAAAAGTAAATACAAATTTCTATTCATTTCCTTGTTTACCACCAATTTATCATAAAAATATACATTAACATTAGCATTCGTGGTCTAATGATCTAATACAGTACACGCGACGTTTCCTTAAATAAGATATTATCCGAACTTAATAATTTACCCTTATATGAATTACTATTATTGCCATATTACAGGTTTATTACATTTTTCCTTTGAATTAAATTAAGAATGCGGAGGAAAATCAATAAGCCGTAATTGAACATGTAAAAGTTCCTGGAATTACTCTTGTTTTCCCTCGGTTGCACGAGCTTTAGCACGATTGAAAGAGGGTGAGAATATGGCGTTGGTGACCACTTGAAAATAGGATTCGCAGCTGCATACGCGTTCGCTATGGTTTACTGTAATTGCCATAACTTCCGGTAGCCCGCTAACAATCGCGTGACGTCACTTCTGCGATTCGTCGTGAACAGCAACACCAGTCTAAATATAATGTATCGGTGAACGACAGCTTTCTCTCCCTTTCTTTCCTTCCTTCGGGTGTACTCGTTTCATTGTTTATAAGGCTTAGTGGTTATCGTCACGCGCGCCACTTCGACAATTTCCACGAATCACGCACCGTTGTTCTTAAGCGACGAATATGATTATGAGAGGGTATTAAAAATATTTTTATGAAAGATCTAGATATCAAGATTAAACTTGGGAACCATAAAGGAAAATGAAGATCACGGCGCTTAAAAACGTATGCATTATCGGGCATCGATGTTACCAGCGACTTTATTATTGGCTAGAACTACTTGCTGAATGGAAATAAATTCGAATCTGATTCAACGCGTGGTCATTTGTAACAGGGTAGCTGTGAAACAATGGAGAAATCCAAAATTAATTGCGTGTTGTGTCATCGAATTAAATTAAGTTAAAATTCGAGCTTTCTGTTCTGGAACCCCTCTATGTTTCTCTATACATAGATCGTTTCTGAGCTGTAAGGTAACATGTTAGACACGTTTCACGGCTAAAACGATAATTAACCGACGTAATGAAGAGCTGGAAGACTGCATGCATTGAAATACGTTACAACATGAATTTTTAATAGACACTACTAATCATTTTGAAAGATAGCTTCGAGTTGTTCTTTTTAATGACGTGTAAAGATATTCTATACTCATTATCTAAGAACTTTTGCAAAAACTTTGACAAATAAATTTAATAAATGATCACTAATAATGATATAATAAAAATTTTTTAATTTAAACACTTGAAATATTTTCATATTTAATCGACTAATTAAACTGGTCGGCAGTAGAATTTTATTAACTTCCTCTCTGTGTATTCCGCTGTTCCTCCCCCGGGACATTACAAATGTTTTTCTTTCTCGTTGAATGGTTACTAACAACCGACTACACGAAGTGTTGGTAGAACAATCCTACGGGAGTTCGACGGAACTGTAACATGCGCGACAGGGTGGAAAAGAAAATCGTGCACGAAGCGAAAACTTGTAATATTATTCGAAAGTCTTTCAAAGTCGAAGCGGCTCGAACGGCCGCTTTTACGACGGGGCACCGACGTCGCACAATGCCGGCACCGATGGTTTTACATATCGTAAAGTGCGTACACGAGCTAAAGAACGCATATAAATCGGCTCGCCTGCTGTTATGTCTCCCGCGTGCAAAGGCCCGTTTACCATTTTATGCCCTCGGGGGCGTTTAAGCTTTCTCCTGCACCCCGACGCACCGCTTCTCCTTTTCCCCCATCTTTCCTTTCCTTTTGCTTCCATTTCATCCCGCAAACGCACCGATCCTCCTTGGAACTTTGCAACGAGAAAATAAGACGGGGGAATGGTAGAGGAGAACACGCGATCAACTTTTGTCTCTGTAACATTCTTACATGTTATTAA